CTGTTTTACTTTCCAACTTGACCGGTGTGTTCCTTCCCGGGTGATCGTCGCTGTAGTCAGCTCCTCGGAGCGTTTGGTAAGGCCCTCGGTCTTACGTTTTGGAGGCCCCAGCGAGATCCCCGGGTAAGGAACCCCGGTTCAGCCGGGACTCTGTGGCGGGATCCAGCAGGAGACTCAGGCACAGACCTCAGAAAACCTCCGGAGGTAAGTTTTTGGCCGGTTGCAACCGTTTGTTGTTAGGAGTGAGGTAGCTGACGAGCCGGAAAGCCTCCCCTAACCCCAAGGTTCCTGACGAGGAACAAGGGAAGGTTTAGTTTCGATTTTGTTGTGGCGCCCGTCTGTCTTATTCGTTATATGTTAATGTCCTGTCCGTTCTGTGTTAATTTCTTTTTCAAACCATCAAGGGCAGAGATGGGAGGATCCGGCTCCAAGAATACTCCGTTGGATTGTTTTCTCACTAATTTTAAATTGGCTTTTTCCCCCGAGCAGGAGGACGAATATAAGGTTAAATTTTCTCGTGGAAAACTTCGCTCCCTGTGCCAATTGGAGTGGCCGACCTTTGAAGTGGGATGGCCAGCAGAGGGCTCCTTTGATCTAAGTCTCTGCCGAGCAGTACGGAAAAAGGTCACTGGACACCCTAGCCATCCTGATCAGTTTCCATATATAAATATCTGGGTTCAGGCTTGTCAGGAGCCTCCAGCTTGGTTGCAGCATTGTTCCCTACAAACAAGCTCTGGCATTTTGGTCATGACCCCAAGTAAACCTCGAGAGACAAAAGCTTGAGCTCCCAAGCCGGTGCTCTCGCAAGATCCTGACCCCTTAGATCTTGAAATAAGACCTCCACCTTATGTGGAGCCATCATCCTCCTCAGACAAAGTCCGCCCTAGATCTCGGAACCCCTTCTATCCTCCTCTTCCTGAAGAAGAAAAATCTCCAGATTCTGTAACCTCCCCTTCCCACACGCGAACAGGAGCTGCTTATGGTCCCAGCAGGGCTCCCACTGAAGGGACTAATTCAGCTCCTCTTCTGCCTCTTAGGGAAGTAGAACAGGGGCATTATGTCTATATCCCTTTCTCTACCAGTGATTTGTATAATTGGAAACATCAAAATCCCCCTTTTTCAGAAAAACCCCAAGCTTTGATTTCCCTCCTAGAATCTGTTTTTAATACCCATGACCCAATCTGGGATGATTGCCAGCAACTTCTCCAAGCCCTCTTTACCTCTGAAGAGAGAGAAAGAATTCGAGGACAGGCCATAAAATCAGTGTTGGGAGGATCAGAGGGCCCACTTGATGAACAACAGCGGGCCCGTATTGAGGCACAGCTCCCGTCCATCCGTCCCCTGTGGCAAGCTAATTCCTCGGGTGGGAGAGAAGCTCTCCACAACTACCGTCAGCATCTCTTAGCCAGCCTGAGGGGAGCCGCACGGAAGCCTACCAACCTGAGCAAGGTAAGCGAGGTCCTTCAAGGGCCTGAGGAATCCCCTTCTGCCTTTTTGGAGCATCTGTTGGAAGCATACCGTACGTATACTCCAATTGACCCAGACGCCCCTGCAAATCGACAGGCAATTAATTTGGCTTTTGTTACTCAGTTGGCCCCAGATATTAGAAAGAAATTACAGCGAATGGAAGGGTTTGAGGGAGAAAATAGGGAAAAGTTGATGAGTGTGGCAATGAAGGTATTTAACAACAGAGATCCTTTTGAGGATAGAATGGCCAAAAAGATAGGAAAGGCAAATATTGCTGCCTTGATGGAGGGAGGTTTTGTCCAGAAGGAAGGAAAGAACAAAAGGGAAGGTAAAAGTAGAGAGTGGCCCTCAGTAGAAAAGGATCAATGTGCCTATTGTAAGGAAAAGGGCCATTACAAAAAAGATTGTAAAAAGTTAAAGAAAAGAAGAAAGAAGGTGACTAAGAAAGAGGGAGATGGAGTTCTATTGGTAGATGAAGAAAATTGACGGGG